GGGGGGGGGGGATGTGTGGTTTGAGCTTATCAACAGATGGGTAAGGGCCTATATCAATGAAGCAGGCATGAAGAGAGAGATTTTCAAAATCTGTGAACAGTGTTTTCTTTCTGCAGTATAGATTTTCTTGCTGATGAGCGAGTAATAGAGTTTAATTTCAAGAAAGCAGAAAGAAATATGATAAAAGAATTGCTATTTAACTAAATTTGGAGTGCATGATCTCAAAGCAGTTCATGATGGGAAATGAAATTTCTGATGTGAAACTGGAAGAGGCATGAGGATGACTCTCTCTCTCTCTCTCTCTCTCTCTCTCTCTGTGACTTGAAAGCATATTGGAGAATTGGGTAAATCCCAATGATTTGGGTTTTGATATTGACTGGTATAGATTAAAGCAGAAAATAAAATAGAGTAATGAAAGAAATAGAAGAATATATCAACCTTGGGAGAGACTTTCCCTCCTGTATACCTCTCTTTGTCCTTTTTTCGAACTAGTGGAGGGCCATGTAACTGAACTTTTTTTTTGTGTAGTTGACTAAAGTAACCTTTGAATGTTAAGCTAGAGACTATGTATCAACATTAGAATGGAAGATAAGATATAATAGTAAAGGGAAAGGAAGTTAATTTAGAGGTCCAAAGGAGGTGCCAGACCCATTTCTTGCAAATATCTGATTGTTCTCTAATTGCCATGCAGTAGTCTAAGGTTGTGTGTGTGTGTGTGTTTTTTTTTTTTATGGGAAAGGGGAGGAGGAGAGAGACTTGAACTTTTGACCTCGTAAAGTTGTATGGTTGATTTGTATATTTTTTTCTCAAATATCTTCGATGATAGATTACTAAATTGTCCTCTATGAGTTCAAGTGAAACCTACTATACAAAATTAGATAAAATATACAACGATGATTTATTATTGAGAAAAATTGAAATTGTGTTTTGGAGGAACCGAAACAAGTAGATATCACTATTTAGAGGGATGTATAACTATAATAACTTGTTTCTTGATTCAATCAATGATGAAGGTGAGATTACTACTTAAATGAGCACGTGTCAAGATTCAAATCGTATCATTGGTGGAATGGAAGTAAGATGGAGGTCTAATTCTCATCGTTACAAATAAAAGAGAAAAAAATTGTACCATTTTATAATTGTTAGTTCAAAAAATGTTCCATAGTTACTAATTGGAGAACATTTCATATGATTTCATCCAAAAGAGAACACAATTGCCTCGTTTGCCGTTGACATTTTTTTGTACGAAATAGAGATTGAAAAGTGAAATAAAAAAGTTAGAGTTAAAAAAATTCTTAGAACTGTTTGGAGTGCTTATGAAAAAATCAACTTTTCTTTGGAAACATTTGAATCAGCCTCACTTTTCAGTTTTTTCTTGGTGTTGAAAAAAACTGTTTTTACCCAAAAAATCGATGAAAAAAGTCGCCCAATAAGTCCGGGTCCAAACAAACCAACCTTTTTCCTTTGAAACCAAAAAATATTAATGCTGTTAGCCCACTCCAAACAAACCTATTATCTCAATTATGTAACCCACAAGTTTATTCACTCTGAATCTCTCTACAACATCAAATATATGCAAGAGTACAAATACTTGTACATCAACAACTCAAAAAATTCCCTACATAGAATGCCAATTAGTTAGTGAGATCATCGACACATCCAAAGCTCCAAAAGACAACAAAATCCATTCTCATCGAAAAATTTAATCACCATTCATTCACCGTTACTTTAACAATCCTTCCCCGTGACACACCACAATGAACCTTAAGTCGTAGTACTCTAATACCATTTTCTACGAGAATGAGAAATATATAATTTTAAAATCAATCTTAATCCAAAAACTGAAACCAATAAATCTCAATTGCATTCATGTATACAAATTTTTTCAACTCGTAACCTACATTTGACGTGGAAAAATGATTACGATCCCTAAATTCTCTTTTTCTTGCCCATTTTTCTACTATGTGAAGAGGATAAACCTTGTTTATAACTGTCTTTGGGGTTTGATAATGTTGAGAGATTTTATAAGTCAATCCATGAAACTAAGCTATTTGTTATCAGAGAAATGAAGTCGTAACGGTGGGTGTAAATGTGGGGCCATACCCTTTGAACTGCATAACAAAGCACTCGTGATCGTCTTGCTATCTCGGTATGTATATTCAATGCTGACCAATTTGGAGTGTCATACACGGCAATGTACCANACATTTATGTTAAGTCTGGTCGCTCGGGCCGTTGTACCTTTTGATTATGGTATGGTATTGTCAGATCCGAACATAGGGCTACTTTATTTGTTTGCCATATCTTCGCTAGGTGTTTATGGAATTATTATAGCAGGTCGGTCTAGTAATTAGGGGGCGGCCATTCGGTCGCCTATGATACTAGGACCAATAGGTAAAAAATGGGTTTGTGCCACAGGTGTTGAACGATCTACTCTACACAGGTGTGGGCTCCCTGCTCACGTCTGATCCGTCTGTTAGCTCCAGACCAGAATCAAATCTACCGAAAACTACTGCTTTTACACAGAAATTAGCGATATTCTCACGTTCTTCATCCCCCTTTTCTCTATTTTTCGGTACTTTTTAGCAGGATTGGGCTTACTTTGTGATTTTTATCATATCAAATGGTTTAATTTTGCAATCTGAAGCGAAACCTTGGTACTTTACATGTTCATAAAGAGGTTCCTTGGTTTTGTTTAACAAAATTTACCCTGCTTCATGTGCCACTGTCTTTCTGTAACTTTGGTGATTGGCACTTTAATAACAAAAATGTACGACACTTGCACTATAAATTAATCCTTCGGTTGTTGTATTGAAGTGCCATGTTTGATAATGGTGGCATCCAACTTCCAATAACAAAATTAAAATGTCTCTACCAGAAGAAAGCAGTACCAGGAGGGTCCCTTACTCACTCTTAATATTAGTAAAACTACATTTCTAATGCATGATTAGCATCTATCCTTTTGTTTAATCAGACAAAAATAAACAAATTCCTTTTAGGACATAGTGATGAAAGAAAATTTGGAGGGCTGGTAAAACAGGTTGACTTGAACTCCTACCAAATGATGCAGAGGACCCATGAATTATTGGTACCGATGAAATTGAGGTCCATGATTACCACTCTTGGGTCCTACAGGCTACATGTCTCAAGTACTTTGGCTGATTTGAGGAGCAATTTAATGATAATTTGAGAACAGTGTCTTGACGCATTGTTTTGCAGAAAAAGTTCCACTTACAGAAAATCTGTGGTCTTTTAGTATTAACTACTAAGTTCAACACAGCATTTTGCTTACAGCAATTTTCTCTGAGTGCCTTTAATGATTTTGATAGGATGAAGAGGAGAAGAAGAGGTCGGACTTTGGCATAACGGTAAAGTTGTTTTTATTGTGATTTGAGGGTTGTGGATTTGAGCCACAAAAACAGTCTCTCTACATGGTTGCAGGGATAAGACTACATATATCTAACACTTTTCAGACCACACAATGACGAAAGTCTCGTGCATGGAGTACACCCTTCTAAAAGGAGAAGAAGACCTCCTTGATAGAAACTAGGGGATTTTTATTTTTATTTTTCTTTTTCTTGGGTTTGAGAGTTGGAAGTTATGGTTGAAAAATTTTAAAATGAATCTACTGAGTTAGATCATAGAACTGTTCAATTATGTTTTGACCTGAAAGTTTAATGCAGCACAGTAATATCAAATAAATTCCGGCAACTGGAACATACCTTTCCGGCAGCCCAATCCGGCCCGATAACCATCCCCGATGAACCCTTCCAAGCATTGGCAACGATATCCTGGCCGGCCATCAATTGGTGACACAATTGTAATACAACTTGAGTCCTCGGAACAGTACCGATGCTGACAATCCCCTTCAAGCCACCACCCCAATTGTACCACCTGAACGTCCACGGACACCGCCGAGTTGTTAAGATTACCCAAGGAGACAACCGAGATGGCCGACAAAAGTGACCGGCACTGGACTCCGGTCAAGTTATGGTAGTCAATGAACAAACTCTGGTTGTTTGGCTCGGAGTAGCAGCTAATATTGTTATCTTTTGAACCACAGTCGAGCATTTCAAAATGAGTTTGCACCGTTGTTGTTGGTATCTTACAAGGAGTGAGTGGTGAGGTACAATTCTGTAGAAGGATTGCATTTTGTGATGTGGGTGCATAGTTTGGACTAAAGAGCTGCTGGAGAGTTTCGACCGGACGGCCACATTCGGCCGGAATGTTGACCAGAATGCTACCGGAGGTTATTTGCTGGACCGGAAAGTCATGTATGACCATGGTGCCGTTTGTGGTGCAGTTAAGGGGGATTTGGCAGCCGGAGGAGAACCCGAACGGGAACGGGAGGTTCTTGGCTAGAACTGTGCCACATGTTCGGTTACACCTGGTTGATTTATGAGCTAGAATTGATGGAAGAATATATAGCAGACAAAGGATGAGACTGTGGAGTTTTATGATCATTTTTGAAAACACAAGCAATTCAAGGAAAAAAGTTAAAGCCTCTCTATATCAATGAAGCAGCAGGCATGAAAAAGAGAGATTTTCAGAATCTCTGAACAATATTTTCTTGCTGTTAGGGTGTTTGTGTTTATCAGCAGATGGGTAAGGGCCTACATCAATGAAGCTGGTAAGAACAGAGAGATTTTCAGTGTCTGTGAACAATACTTTCTTTCTGGAATTGAAAATTTCTTGCTATTGGGGGGGGGGGGGGGGGGGGGGGGGGGGAGCTTGTAAACAGGAGGGGGAGGGCCTGATTC